AAATAGAGATCTCATTTGGATTGACTCCTCATTGTTTGCTAATATGTGGTCTGGAAAAGGTTTGGGGCACACACAAACATTAGCTGCTACAATGGCTCTAACTCCTGTTAAGCACATCTATTAGAAGAAAAAAAAAATAGCTGCATTAGATACAGGAATGTGTCAGACTTTTCATGTACCCTTAAATCCAGATGCTATGTATTTAAGCATGAAGTTTTAGTTCAGTATAAAATATTTAGTAGAAAAATCTCTAGCTAAGTAGTCATTACATGGTATGCAACTGTGTAACTGGAAATGGTACAGAAAACACTTGTGTCCTTGTTTCTTGGGACTATAATAGAACTCAGTTATAATGCAGATGCTGTGGAAAGAGCTAAATGGCTTTTTCTCTAGCTTTTAAGATGTGCCATAGTTAATTGGATTTACTGAGGTCATGTGGTCTGATGTGGTCAAGGCTTAGAATCTGAATTCCTAAATTCTACTTGTAATTTTTTTTTTTCTTTACAGCTTTGTTACCTTAGGCAAGGTTAAATTTTTGGGGTCATTCTTATTTCCATGTTTATAATGTGAGAAAGACTAGTGTTTATCTCAATAGCTTTTTTGTAAGTATGAAAAAAATTACATAAATAAAATGTTCTTTAAATATAGAATAGCTAAAGATAGATTAATAATAATAATAATAATAATGGATTTTTATTTGCTCTTATTGACAAGACACTCATCAAAGAAAATCCGAATTAAGATGATTTGAAGACAGTCTACTGGCAGGGTATCCAGACTTCTGACATTGAGACATGACATTGTCGTCTACAAATGTGTTGAGCCACTTTTCTAGCTCTCCTGAGCTTCAGCTTAGACACGCCTGGTAGTGTTTTAAAAGGAAAATGGAGAAAGTTTATAATTGATTTCCTGATAGAACAAATAAAGCAAATCTGTATTCACTTGGGGTCCTCTAGAGAATTAGTTCACAATAGCACCTCATCAAGATTATTTAATAACATTACCATCAGTTGTAGGCTAATATCCCTGTTCTTTTGTGGAGACATTGGCTATAAGGTAGAACGGATCATGAAATATGCTATAAGAAGTGTCATGATACTGAGTAGCATGCTGAACATGATGGTGATGTAGCACACTTGAGTTTTGCAGTAAATTCTTTTCTTCAGTGTCGTGGGGCACAGCAAAAAATGTTTCACACATCAAATATCTTTTTGTCCCAGTGCTAAGGACTGAACTCAGGACCTCATGCATGCTAAGCTGTCTTTATCCTGCTCACTGCATAGAAATGCAGTTAGGTTGTCACACATTCTAACTTGTGCTTTCATCCTGCAAAACAGCTCAGTATTCTGTCGTGATTCATTGTAAAGACAGTGGTGTACATGCATTCATAGCCCAAAGTAACTTTCAAACCATGTCCAACTTTTTGATATTTAGAGTAATAACATCACAAGATTGCTGCTAAAAGATTACTTGAATCTAATTGAGGTTAGTACTCTTTTTTTCAAATATTTTATTATTTTTATTTTATGTGTATGAGTGTATTGCCTGCATGTATGTGAGTGCACCCATGTCGTGCAATGCTGCAGAGGTCACAAGAGGTCTTTGGATTCCCCTGGAACTGGAGTTAAGGACAGTTCGTAGCCGCCATGTATGTGCTGGGAATTGAACCCAGGTACCCTGCGAGAGTAGTCAGTGCTCTTAACCACTGAGCAATCTCTTCAGCCCCAAGGTTAGTACTTTTAGCTGGATTTTAAGTATTTGATAAATTTTTTTAGAAGAATTACCTCTTCAGGGCAGATACAAACCATTCCCAGAAGCTTTTTTGAGGTTCCACGGGCACTAAAAAAGCAGATTTCTACATGAAAAAAAAGTCAAAGCTGTAGCTGCACCTCAGTGGTGGAACACATGCTTGGCATGTACAAAGACCCTGTGTTCCCAGAATGAAAAGAGAATGCCAGCGTTCAGAATTTTCTCACAGTTCAAACTCATTAGTTTATATGTAATATAACTACCACAAATGATTAAAGTAGATGCTGATAGTGGCTTTTATTAACTTTAAGGTAAACTAGTTCTCACATAAAGCCTAACTATATTTAATAGTTTCAGAGACTTGCATCTACATTTCTGAGTTGTATATAAAAAAATGCTGGGGCTGGAGAGATGGCTCAGTGGTTAACACTAGTTGTTCTTGCAGAAGACCTGAGTTTGAATCCCAGTACCCACATGACAGCTAACAACTGTCTGTAACTCTAGTCCCAAGGGATCCGACAGCCTCTTCTGACCTCCAAGGGCATTGCATGACACGGGTGCACATACCTACATGCAGGCAATACATGCATACACATAAAATAAAAATAATAAAAGTTTTTTTAAAGTTTAAAAAAAATGCTATTACTTTGGAACCTTTTTTATGACAATGGTATGCTAAATTTTTGGCACACTGGACCTTCTTGCTTAGGCAGATGTTTTGTTTTAAATCAGGGTATAGAAATTACATGGTTTGATAAGCCTTCTGAAAAATGCAAATAAGACCAATTGTGTATTAGGCCTGACAAGAGGAATTTGCATATGTAAAGTACTTGGAGAAAGCTAAGTGTTATAGATACAGAATTTTATTTTATTTTATTTTATTTTTTTATGTATATGAGTGTATTGCCTGTATGTGAGTGCTCCCGTATCGTGCAATGCCGTGGAGATCAGAAGAGGGCTTCGGATTCCCCTGGAGCTGGAGTCAAAGACCATTCGTAGCCACCATGTGGGTGCTGGGACTCGAACTTGGGTCCTCTGCAAGCAGTCAGTCCTCTTAACTGCTGAGCCATCTCTCCAGCCCTAGATAGAGAATTTTAAAATACTGCAGTGAAATTTTTGAAGTAGCTTTTCAGTAATTGAAAAGAAGTTTAGGGAGTGGGTAAGTCTGATGCATATGGGTGGGAACTTGTTCCATGCAACTTGGCCAGGACATGCCCAAGGTAAGAAGAAAACTCACCTATGAAATGTATTTGCTGTGTCACATCTCCTGATGGGGAGGGCCTCTAAAGACAGTGTCTCCAAGATATTTATGCTTTTTCATAGAATGAAGACAAACTCAGAGATGGTGTGTCTAAGAAACTTCAAAAGGTGTAGACCTCCTGATTGAAGCGTAGGTGATTTATTCAGCTCATTTTTTCCCCATTATAGTAAGTATAATTGTTTAAAATGTTACTTTTGCTCATCCTTGGCTTGTGGTCTTTGACTACATCTCCACTCTGTCAAGTACCTTTAATCACTGTTTGAGCTCTTTGTTTTCATTTTTCCCAAGCTCACTTTCATATCTTAAATGAACTTAACTCTCTGGACCTTTAGAGGGCAAATACAATCATAAACTCAGGCTGGAAAAGCCATTAGAGATTATCTGATTCACTCACATCCATTACAAGAAATTCCTTTGGAACATCCCTGATGGATGCTCATTTATTCATCTAAACCCAACTAGGGACAGGGGCTGAACTGTTTCCACTTCTATGATGTTCCACCAACAATTTAAATCAGAACAAGACTTTATAGCTTTGCTTGCTGACACATGCCTATAATCCTAGTATTACTCGGTAATTCAAGGCCAGCCTTGGTTACATAATACATTTGAAGCCAGCCTGGGCTACATGAGACCCTGTGTCAAACCCCTTCCTCCCCCAAACTTGTCTTTTTAAAAATATATTTATTTTTATTTTTATGTGTATGAGTATATTGCCTGTATGTAGGTGCACCTGTATTGTGCAGTGCTCGTGGAGGTCAGAAGAGGGCATCAGATTCCCTGAAACTGGAATTATAGATGGTTGTTTGCTGCCATGTGGGTACTCGGAACTGAACCTGGGTCCTCTACCAGAGCAGCCATCTCTCCAACCCATCAAACATGTCTTTAAAAACCTTCTATCCACCTAATTCTGCCTTCAAAACAAATACATTCTTTAATCTATGAGGTATGTTGTGTGACTTTTCATAGGGAGACGTAAACATCTATTTACCTCAGATAAGGTACTGACAGATCAAAGAAACAATTTCATCCATGTTCATCTTGGTACTTGGTACTTGATGGGGGTATTTGCAGGAACATGGGTGACAAATCACAAAAGCTGCAGTACTGAATTCTCTTTCTACCGCCTTCTACTAGCACGCCCAAAGACCATGTGCAGCTGGCAGGAGGGGCAAGAGTAGAGCAGGTGATGGAATTTCAACTGAGGGTCTGGTGACATTTCTTTTCCTTCTAGGAGAGAATATTAACAGCCCGCCTTCCCATTATCATAGACCTAGCCATCACTGAACCATTTTGCTGATATTATTTCTGTGGCTTACAGGGCCAAGGTATTCTGTAGGTGGTCACAGCAGTCTTTGCTCCATGATGGCCATGATGGCCAGTGGTCATGTCAGGTCCTGACAGGCAGAGAAATGTAAAGATGTGTTCTCTGTTTCCTCTGGTTATCATCTACCTCAGCTGGTCATCAGCTCCTGATATTCCTCCGTAGAGAATGGTTTAGTTGCCCATTTCATCTCAATTTGTAGCTGAGTGTTAGGGTCCAAGTTTGACCTCACTAAGAACAAAACTCTCACCCCTTTATCTGTGTTCACCTACTAATATGGCCAAAGGTTATGTCACTGTTACAGCATAATAGCTGTTATGTGATTAGCTGAAAGTATGCATGCCAGTTAAAATCCACGTTAATCCAGTAGTGTTTCCTATGAGCCCCTTTGTCCTAGTTAGCTTTCTATTGCTGTGATAAAATACTCTGACCAAAACCAATTTAGGGAGGAAAGGGTCCATTTGGCTTATACATCCCAATCACAGTTGATCGTTGGAAGCCAGCACAGATCTTGGGGCAGGAATCTGGGGGCAGGAAGTGAAGCACAGAGGAGCACTGCTTACTGGCTTGCTCCTCTGGCCTGTGCTCTGCCTGCTTTCTTTAACAGTCCAGGACCACCTGCCCAAGGGTGGCACCACCACAGTGGGCTGGGTTCTCCCACATCAATTAATAATTAAGAAAATGCCTCAGAGACATGGCCACAGGCCTGTCCTATGGAGATAATGCCTGAAGTGAGGCTTCTTCTTCCCAGGTCTGTCAAGGTAACAACTAAAGCTAGCCAGTACAACCCATTCTATCATGTTTATGGTATCTGGAGGGGGCGGGAGGTCTCTGACCAGAACTTTCCTTTAGGATTTTTGGGGAGCAGAGTTATCTTGCCTTGACACATAATTACGGTTAACTAAAGTAGAATAAGACAGAGTGTAAAGAATTAACAGTCACACCTTCTAACCTAGAGTGAAGGAGGGAGGCCCTGGCAATGAAGCCACAGGTCTAAGGAGGAAGTTGAAACCATATAATAATACGTTATTCCCAGGTAGGATACAGAGAGAAAGTGGAGCTGCATTCCAGGACTTAAAATAAAGGATCATGGGTCAGGCATGGTGGCCCGTGCCTTTCATCTCAGCACTCAGAAGGCAGAAGCATGCAGATCTCTGCAAATTCAAAGCCAGCCTAGTCTACACAGTGAGATTTGGTTAAAAAAATAAATAAATAAACAAAGAATCATAGAATATCTTTTTTTAATATTTTTAGTTTATACATATGAGTGTATTGCCTGCATGTGGGTAAGTGCAGCTATGTTGTACAATACCAGTGGAGTCAGAAGAGGGCATTGGATTTCTCTGGAACTGGAGTTATGGACGGTTGTTAGCTACCATGTGGGTGCTAGGAATCAAACCTGGGTCCTCTGAAGAGCAGCCAGTGCTCTTAACCACTGAGCCATCTCCCCAACCCTGGATCATAGAATATCTTAACAGGTGGAAGTACATACAGGTATAGGTGATCAGAAGATGCTCAGCACAAGAGAAGACACTTATTGACAGGTAGCAGCATCAGTAATGAGCTCCTAGGACTTAAATTGTCAACACTCCTAGGACTCAAGGTTAGGTACTGGATTCTAGGAGGACTAATAACAACAAAAATATGGCGGTGTGATGTTGCATTATGAAGGTACCTGAACAAAACAGCCTGATTCTGAGCAGCCATTTAAACCAATCCTGTGGCCCAAACTGTTGTATTTGTTCCTTCAACTTTCTCCTGGAACTGTGCTCTCAAACAAAGGCCTTGCTCTCTCTTTGTTGAAACCATACATCCAGCCTCAGTGGGAATAGAGGAACTTGTCTTATCCAGGATTATGCCCCTCTGACCCCTACTGACCTAGAACAGCACACACACCCACAAACAGATGTCATCAGTCTAATCCCACCTGTTGCTTGCAGCACACTTCGCTAGTGTGTGTGATATTGATAATAGGGGCAATTGACATTCTGTCTTAGAAAGATAAACATATCACCAGCTCCTAGGCTACAATTCCATCTCCCACTTCCAGTCTTGCCCCCTCCCCCAGCTTCACATGGTTTTGGGGTGTGCTGGTATGAGGAGGGATGACTGGGGCAGGATTTCAGTATTGCAGCTTTTGTGCTTTGTCAACTATGCGTGTGTTGCCTGCATGTAGGTAAGTGCACCCATATTGTGCAATGCCCATGGAGGACAGAAGAGGCTGTCAGATCCCCTGAAACTAGAGTTATGGACAGTTGTTAGCTGCCATATGGGTGCTGGGATTCGAACCTGGGTCTTCTGCAAGAACAGCCAGCTGAGCCATCTCTCCAGCCCCCATCTTGTTTTTTGAAAGCAAGAATAATTAGCAATAGCATATGCCTTTGTCATCTGTCACTTTAGCACTATGCTGTCACAGCATTAAATATGAGGGTTCCCTACAATCGAATATTCTAACAGGGATGTTCCTTTTAAAACAATTGCTACTGTTTCTCAACTTTTAAATACTCCTAAGTTTTTGGTGGATCTTTAAAAATGTTTATTTACTTATTTTTCTGTGTATGAGAGTTTTGGCTACATGTATGTAAGTGCACCATGTGTACAGTACTCATAGAGGCCAGAAGAAAGCACTGGATCCCCAGGAACTGGAGTTACCAATGGTTTTTAGCCTCCGTGTAGGTGCCAGGTCCTCTGTAATAGCAATCAGTGCTCTTAATCACTGAGCCCCCACTCTTTATGTTTTTAAATACTTATGTTCTTCAGTTATAAAGTGAAATCTTGGGAGAAAAGGAGAAATTCATTCAGTGGTGATTTGCTTTGGGAGGAATGGGTAGCATCTTCTAAGCCTAAGGGATAGCATCATAATGCAGCACTTGCTCAGAAGGCTGTTTATGGTGATAGAAACAACAATTAGGTAACAACACTCCAGACTTGGAGCCAGTCTAGGAAAGGATCCTATTCCGAATTTTAAAGGGTAGGATATATGCTTATTAGAAATCAGTATGTAAGAACAGCTGAAGAAAATTAGCTCCAGTTTTTATAACCCAGCCTTGAGTTAAAATCTAGGATGTAACTAAATTTTTGGCTAGGGGCCCTCCCGAGTCCCTTTATGGTCTGTCGCCAATCCCCCACCTAAGGGATTTACAACTCAGAATCGAATGGCTCAAGTTTGAGATAAAACCAGAGCTCTTCCTTTGCACTTGATCAGTCCTTCCTCTTAGCTTTTACCCTTACTGCTGGAGTAGGATATGTGTGAACAAACATTAGAGTTAATATATATTTATGGCCAGGTATGGTGGTACACACATGTAATCCCAGCAGCAGAGAGATGGAAGTTAGGAAGATCAGGAATTCAAGGGAAGTCTCAGCTACAGAGTGAGTTTGATGCCAGCTTGGGGTACACGAGATCCTGCCTTAAAAAACAAAATTACCTCCCCCCCACACGCACAAAAGTGTTATTTGAGTTGTTTCAGATGCGTTTCTTTGTTTCCTCCCCCAGTTTCTGAACTCGCACAAAGGAAAGTCATGATTACACTAACAGAGCTAAAATGCTTAGCTGACGCCCAGTCATCTTACCATATACTGAAACCGTGGTGGGACGTGTTCTGGTATTATATCACCCTCATCATGCTGTTGGTGGCTGTGCTGGCCGGAGCTCTGCAGCTTACCCAGAGCCGGGTTCTGTGCTGTCTTCCATGCAAAGTGGAATTTGACAACCACTGCGCTGTGCCTTGGGACCTCCTGAAAGCCAGCGCGAACATGTCGTCAAACGAGGGCTTGCCACTTCCACTCCCACTCCGGATCCAGAATGACCTCCATCGGCAGCAGTACTCGTACATCGACGCCGTCTGTTATGAGAAGCAGCTCCACTGGTTTGCAAAGTTTTTCCCCTACCTGGTGCTCCTGCACACCCTCATCTTCGCAGCCTGCAGCAACTTTTGGCTTCATTACCCCAGTACCAGTTCCAGGCTGGAGCATTTTGTGGCCATCCTTCACAAGTGCTTCGATTCTCCATGGACCACACGTGCCCTGTCAGAAACAGTGGCCGAGCAGTCAGTGAGGCCCCTGAAACTCTCCAAGTCTAAGACTCTGCTTTTAACCTCAGGGGGTTCCGCTGACAATGATGCCAGCAAGCAATCATTGTCCTATCCACAACCAGGCTTGGAGTCACCTGGCATAGAGAGCCCGACTTCTAGTGTCCTGGACAAGAAGGAGGGTGAGCAGGCCAAAGCCATCTTTGAGAAGGTGAAGCGGTTCCGCCTGCACGTGGAGCAGAAAGACATCATTTATCGTGTCTATCTGAAGCAGATAATAGTCAAAGTCATCTTGTTTGTCCTCATCATAACTTATGTTCCGTATTTTTTAAGCTACATAACTCTTGAAATCGACTGTTCCATTGATGTGCAGGCATTTACAGGCTATAAGCGCTACCAGTGTGTCTACTCCTTGGCAGAAATCTTTAAGGTGTTGGCTTCATTTTATGTTATTTTGGTAATACTTTATGGCCTCACCTCCTCCTACAGCTTATGGTGGATGTTGAGAAGTTCCCTGAAGCAATATTCCTTTGAGGCACTCCGAGAGAAAAGTAACTACAGTGATATCCCGGATGTCAAGAATGACTTCGCCTTCATCCTTCATCTAGCTGATCAGTATGATCCCCTGTATGCCAAACGCTTCTCCATCTTCCTGTCAGAGGTCAGTGAGAACAAACTGAAACAGATCAACCTCAACAATGAGTGGACAGTTGAGAAACTGAAAAGTAAGCTTGTGAAAAACTCCCAGGACAAGATCGAACTGCATCTGTTCATGCTCAGTGGTCTTCCAGACAATGTCTTTGAGTTGACAGAGATGGAGGTGTTGAGCCTGGAGCTCATCCCCGAGGTCAAGCTGCCGGCTGCCGTCTCTCAGCTGGTCAACCTCAGGGAGCTCCATGTGTACCATTCATCTCTGGTGGTAGACCATCCTGCGCTGGCTTTTCTGGAGGAGAACTTAAAAATCCTTCGCTTGAAATTTACTGAGATGGGAAAAATCCCACGCTGGGTATTCCACCTGAAGAATCTCAAGGAACTGTACCTGTCCGGCTGTGTTCTCCCTGAGCAGCTGAGTTCCATGCACTTGGAAGGTTTTCAGGACTTAAAGAACCTGAGGACCCTCTACTTAAAAAGCAACCTGTCCCGGATCCCCCAAGTCGTGACAGACCTGCTGCCTTCCCTGCAGAAGTTGTCCCTTGATAATGAAGGAAGCAAACTGGTTGTGCTGAACAACTTGAAAAAGATGGTCAATTTGAAAAGCCTCGAGCTGCTCAGCTGTGACCTGGAACGCATCCCCCATTCCATATTCAGCCTGAACAATCTGCATGAGTTAGATCTCAAAGAAAATAACCTGAAAACCGTGGAGGAGATCATTAGCTTTCAGCATCTTCAGAATCTTTCTTGCTTAAAGCTGTGGCACAATAACATTGCTTATATTCCTGCCCAGATCGGAGCTTTGTCTAACCTCGAGCAGCTCTCTTTGGATCATAATAATATTGAGAGTCTGCCTTTGCAGCTTTTTCTATGCACCAAACTACATTATTTGGATCTAAGCTATAACCATCTGACCTTCATTCCTGAAGAAATCCAGTATCTGAGTAATCTGCAGTACTTTGCTGTGACCAACAACAATGTGAGTAAATCCAGCCCTTCCTTTCTTAAGCCAGTCTTTTGGGGCTCTGCTGAGCTTGCAGTGTATAGCGGAGGGAAAATAAGTGGATTTGGGACCATACTTAGCATTCTCTTAGCTGAGCGTCATTCCCTGTGACCTTGGACAAATTGCCAAAGCATTGAATGTCAGTTTTTTCATCTGACTTACAAGTTGTCGTAGAGATTATATTTAACAATTCCTGGCCCCATAATAGTTGCTCAACAAATGTTAGTCTCTTTATTTTCTTGCCCCATTTCTATATAAATATCACAATTAAAACACCTTAAACTCGTTAATTAGTTATGATGGAGCTTACTTTTTGTTTTGGGAAAGGCTTGAGTACTTAGAAAGTTTGGTAAAATTTTCATTCTTCCAAATTTACCACAAAAGAATAACTGTTTTAGGGAATGGAGAGATAGCTCAGCAGTTAAGAGCACTGGCTGCTCTTGCAGAGGACCCGGGTTCAATTCCCAGCACCAACATGACAGCTAACAACCATGTATAACTCCAGTTCCAGGGGATCTGATGCCCTCTTCTGACCTCTGGGCATCATTGCATAACATGCATGCACTTACATACACACAGGTAATACACTCATATACATAAAAAATAAAATTAAAATAATAAAAATTTTTAAAAACTGCTTAAACTGATGAAATTATGAGTTTTAAGATTCTTTTTATGATACAGTAAGAAAAATAGACTTGAAATCCACACACATACCTAAAAAAGACAATTCAGAATGAAAGGCCTGGTTCTATAATGCAACACTGAGGCTTCTTAGAGTCCCTTTTCCAGCATCCATGCTTAAAAATGAACCCTAATTTGCAACAGTAAAGCCAAGTTAAAGAAAATGTAACTTCATTGAAACAAGAAAAAAAAACACAACAAAATAAATGAGTAGTTGGGGGGGGCGTGAGGAAGTCTTCCCATCAATCTCGTTTGATTGATTGCATGGTGACATGACGAGGGAAGCCTTACACTTGAAAATACTAATTACCCTGAGCAGGTTGGTACCTCCCGAAGTAGGCTCTGATTGTGTGCATAGGAAGGCTCAAAGAAGGCAGCTAAAACTCAGAACCCCTTGGAGAGGTTTGATCAGTTATGACTTACAAGTAGGGACACAGAACCAGCAAGATGACTTAACTGGAAAAGCTATTTGACAAAAAGCCTGCTGATCTGAGTGTGATCCCAGGGACCCACGTGGTAGGAGGAGAGAACCAACTCCCACAGGTTGTCCTCTGACCTCCACATGCTCTGGGGCACCCACAAGTACACATAAACAAATAAATACATACATGCATAAATGTAATGCTAAAATTTTTTAAATAGGGCTATAATTTCATGTCTGAAAGGAACCCTTATGAGTCATCTAGTTCAGAGATCAGTAGCCTGTAGCTTGGGGTCTACATCCGCCCACAGCTCTTTTTATATGGTGTAGGCAAGAATGGTTTTATATTGCTTTAATGATTGGGGGAAAATCAAAAGCATAGCATTTTATGACACATAAAAATTATGTGAAGCTCAAATTTCAGTGTCTGTGAACCAATTCCATTCTTTCCAACAGTGGACTTACAAAAAAATTATATATTCAGTTGCTATATTTTGAATTTTGTCATTTAAAAAACATAGAGTTTTTCCCACTGTCATTATATAACTACATACAAAATATTTTTAGGTTTTCCTCTTGGCCCACAAAGCCTAAAATATTTATTCTGGCACTTTAGGAAAAATATTGCCACCCCCTCTAACGTACCACCACTATTTTATTAATATAGAAACTGCACAGTGACTGGTCCAAGGCCTGGAGCTTCTTGGTGATGGTGCTAAGGGCACCCCAGCCCACCCCATCCATGTTCCTGCTCTACTGTGCCTGCATCTCCAGTTGCATCAGTCTGTGTGATGTTGTATGACACTGTGTATGCTGGGATGGTGTGGAAGGTGGAGAGGAGATAGAGCCAACCTGTGCTAGTACCAAAGGTCGAATGGTTATAATCACAAGGAAGACTTAACTCTGTTTTGCTTAATTCTTACAAGCCACTCACGTGTAGACCCAGGTCTTACAGCTTCCACAGGTGTGTTTCTTCCTTTGAGGCACACAAACCTTTTGGCTAGAAGGCTCATTGGGTAGAAATTGCTTCCAAGGAGCATATGAGGGGCAGGGCTTTTTGTAGTTACTTTGACATCCCTACTTAAAAATGGCAACATTCAGAGGCAGAGGCAGGCGGATCTGTGTGAGTTCAAGGCCAGCCTGGTCTACATAGTGAGTTCCATGACAGCTGGGGCTTACAGGGAGAACCTGCTTCAAAAAGACCAAAAAAAAAAAAAAAGCCAACATTCAACCTTGTTCTTGCTTCAGTGATGAACTTTATGGGTTTAGTTATCTTACCCTGTTCTGAGGTAATATGTGTCATTGACAAGAAAAACGAAGTAAGGAAATCCGGCTTGGAGAAAGACTCTGAAGGAAGATCCCATTTCAGTGGGGATCATGGCCATTCATTGTCAGGGTTAGATTTAGAGAAGAATCCTGTTCTGAGTGCTCCTATCCATCTGGCTGAAGGCATTTGGCTGCAAGAGATACAGGATAGTGATGATGTTAATTACCAGTCTTCCTGGTTTTTTAGTTTGTTTTCTAGATTATCTCATGTATATTTTGTATATGTTTACATTATACACTATACTTCATTCTCTAAAACCATTCTATTTATGGTTTATCATTTCCCTAATAGTCTGAGAACTTTTCCCTTGGTTTAAAGGGGAGACCAGTGGTCCACAGGATGTCTTTTTCCTCACTGGCTCATGTATGGTGCCATCTAGAAAGAGGCCTATTGAAAGAATTAGGCATAATGTTATAAAACTTTTTTTTTTTTTTTGAGACAGGGTCTCATGTAGTACAGGTTGGCCTCCAGCAAGGATGACCTTGAACTTTTGGTCTTCCTACCTGCCACCCCTGTGGTGCTGGTATTACAGGCATGTGCTACCACACCTACTTTGTGCTCAGCTAGGGAATCAAATCCAGGGCTTTGTGCATGCTAGATAAGCACTCTATCAACTGTTACATCCTCACCCCATGAGACTCTGTGTGTGTGTGTGTGTGTGTGTGTGTGTGTGTGCCATGTGTGTGATATGGGGACTGCAACACACATGTGGAGGTCAGAAGACAGCAAGAGTAGGTTCTTTGCTTCCACAATGCAAATCAAACTCAGGTGGTCAGGCTTGGCAGTAAGTGCCTTTACCCACTAAGTCACCAGCCCCCATAAAACATTTCTGTAAAACTTACTAATGGACATCAAATGTGTTTGGTATTCTCACAAACTTTAAAGCACTTTTTTTATTATAAATAGATCCCCCCCCCAGGATAAAATTACTAAGTTAAAGGAAAATCAGCTTTCTTAACAGCCTCATTTAGGAAATTTGGATTAGAGTCGGTAAGATTCTGCACCTTAACTGGGCACTGGCCTGGACAGAAAGCCCCTGAGATGGTCCCTTAGCTCACAGGAATAGATTCTACCATCCAGAACCCATGACCCACCTCAGGCCATAGTGGTGCAGGGCCAGAGGGCCTGGTAGCCTCTGGCTGGGCCCATCCTGAGACTCACTCCACCTCCCTGTGCAATCCCTCTCCTGTGTTGGAACACTCAGAAGTCACAAAGACCACAGATTCAGAGCTATGAAAGAATACTGACAGGACCCTGGTAGCACAGAAAGGACAGCAGTGAGACAGTGGCTTGGGCATGAGCACCCAGAGAAAATCGGTTCTCTACTCGGTTGTGGGGCATCAGGAATCGGTGGAAGGAGAGTCTGGGATTCCTAGTTGTGCCTGGGGTTAGGGCGCTCTCCCCCGCAGCACCCAGGAAACATTTATTCTTTGTTTAATAATGTTCCTCTCTCCATAGACAGTGCTCCTCCCCTGGAGGGGATTTTACCCCTTCAAGAAACATTTGTCTGGAAAAGATTTGGGTTGTTACAACTAAGGAGTAGAGTGTGATGACAGGTGGGAATAGAGCCCAGAGGCGGCTAAACACACTACCATGCATAGGACAGTCGCACAGTGAGAATGAGCCCACCCAAGACTGCACAGCATGGAGGCTGTGTTTCAATGCAGCCTGCTGCAGACAACAGACTTAAAGGCCTTGTCTGGTGCCCAGCACTTTAGCTCCAGCATCTGGCGGGCATCTTGGCACCCAAGGAGTCAGTCAGTACATTTTTACTGAACTCCAGGGAACTAAGCCCTCCCTGTTTTCTCCACGTCTCCTGAGTCCTGGCCGAGCACTTCTGTCCAGGCCTGACTTTCCCATCTTCACCTAAGTTGTAGACCCAACTTCGGAAGTGCAAAGGGCTCAGCAGGTGTGGCTTCAAAGCAGCCCCATTTCTGCATTTCTGCCCTCTGACTATCTCTCAGTACTGAGTCTGCATAGACAAGGGTTGCATCAATACTTGAGAAGAGCTGGAACACATAGGTTTTCCTTTGCTTATGTCTTATCTTAGTGTCTTGTGGTGATCAAATGTTGATCTTAGCCACAAGGGTTTTATTTTCAAGGATAACCAAGGGCTGAAAGGGAGAGGGCATTGAGGAGAGGGAAGTTTCCAGCATAATGAGCATTTTGAATGCAGTTTGACGATTTTTAGTTTATGTGAGAATTATTTGTCCTTTTGAGGAGGATAAATACTTCCGCCCACCTTAGAACTCATCCCCCTCAGTGTGTCTGCATTAACCTATTAGAGGATACTGGTGGGCCAAGCCCCTTAAGTGTCCTTCATCCACGTCTGACAAAGCCACTCCTGAACTAAGAAGTCAATGCAATTTCATGGAGTCACAAAACAGTATAGATGAGCTCTGTTGTCCAGCATGCTCCTCCCCGCCCTCTCTCAGTGGAGGGAGGGGTTGAGTGGATAGATGGTGGGTGCATGCATACCTTCTCCTCAGAGCACGTCCCACTTCATATGTGCACACACATAACACAGCCTATTCACATATAGGAGAACAGTCAAGTGCAGCAGCTCTTTATTTTATTTATTTTATTTTGTGTATAAGTGTATTGCCTGCATGTGCATAAGTGCACCCATTTCATGCAGTGCACACGGAAGCCAGAAGAGGGCATTGAATCCCCTAGAACTGGAGTTACAGAAGGTTATTAGCCACCATGTGGGTGCTGGGAACCAAACCCAGGTCCTCTGCAAGAGCAGTCAGTGCTCTTCACCACTGAGCCATCGCTCCATCCCTAAGTGCAGCAGCTCTTAAAGTTGACCTAATTGACTGGCAATTTATCATATCTGGAATTACCTCTCAGTGCTACATGAATTATTGAATGGGTGCATGAGTGCAGGAGAAAGGATAAATACTCAGAAGCATGTGTCTGTGGAGAGATGAGATGTGCATGCATATTATCGTGTGTTTTTCCATCTTTGTTTCTGTAGACTTCTGGTGGGTAGGGATTGAGTTTCGGTTTCTGAGAAAAGACAGTTTAGGAAATAGGCTTGTACCTGTTCTCAGCTGTGTTTAAGGGTATTGCTCATTACTTAACATAGTGAATTCTTTATGAGGACTCTTGAGAGTAATTTATTTCTGATCTAGGACTCAAGAATAGTTATGATTCTCCTGGGTTTATTTTTTATCTTAGAGACAGTACTGTTTCTTTAAGAATCATGATAGAGGGTCCAGAACCAAATTGGTTGGCCGCTCATGGTCATTGGTACAGATGTTAACAGAGCATCAACCCTGACTCCATGGGATAATCCTACCCTTACTAATTCCTTTGTCTTTTGCCTCTACCTCAAACTTAGGGCCAGTGTAGTGTGTTTCGCTGTAGACCTGCAGGCGTGATTTTGAAGAATGGTAACTAGGGTGTAAGTACATGAATGTACTATCATAGGCCATCAAAACCGGTTTCACCTGCTTCCTCTTTCCTTTCAGATTGAGATGCTACCAGATGGGCTGTTTCAGTGCAAGAAGCTTCAGTGTCTACTTTTGGGGAGAAATAGCCTAACAGATTTGTCCCCTCTCGTGGGTGAGCTGTCAAACCTCATCCATCTGGAGCTCATTGGTAATTACCTAGAAGCCCTGCCTCCAGAGCTGGAAGGGTGTCAGTCCCTAAAACGGAGCTGCCTGATTGTCGAGGACAGTTTGCTGAATACTCTTCCTCTCCCTGTGACAGAACGTTTGCAAACATGCTTAGATAAATGTTGACAATGATCAGCAGCCTGCAAAAGCATCTTTAAAAGTAGGCCTTGGGGCTTTAAAGGAGAATGCGATTTCCTAAGTTATAAAGATGAAAAGTAGGTGATGGTTACAATGCACCATAACCAAATATCTTATTGAAGAACCCAGAGTCTAAGTCAAGTGAAAGATGTCAACACTGAACTGGAGTTTTGTGAATAGATGGTCTTTAACTTATTGTGATGTTGTAAGAAGTTCACATTGAGGGTGAACTGGGGGGCATGAAATTATGGGATCTTTCCCTCTTAGTTTCTTACCTTTAGGGTTGTGTTTTCTCTCCTCTCCCTCCAGCCCTGTTATTTGTACACTTGTTCCAGCTGACTTCCTAATTTGATATTTACCACCAAGCCCATAACGACTCATCAGTATAAACTTCCTGATGTATACTCACCACTGACTTTGATTTATGTTCTCACATTTTTTAAGCAGGGTGTATTGTGCTTGGCAGAATCCCTCTTTGGCTTATTTCTCACTTCCTTTCCCAGCTTGCTGGAATCTTCCCTCGTCTGGTTTTCTCTGAACAATGAGTACCCAAGAGAATGCTTGCCTTTGGTATTTGCTTGGAATGGGAGGCAGGGTTCTCAAGATGAGATCCTCCGGGCATCCTAACAATTAACGTATTCTCAAAACTGTCTTCTTGTCTATCATTAAGACCCTTTTTATATGTTAAGGACTTTTATATGAAATATAAAACGTAAATATTTTCTATTGTGTCTCAGATTCCACATCTGTGAGAACACTTTTTTGTAAGGTACAGAGAACATAGGAATTTCTTTGAGAATTTAACGATACTTTGTTGGGCTGTTTAATGATTCTCATGTTTGTGTGCATTCTGCTCCAAAATGTTTTGTACTCTGCACTAATTACTTTTAGAATGACAAAAGCCTTGTGTTTTATTCCCTAAAATATTTGAGGGGTTCCTTGTGCGAGGACGAGAGGACAGCTGCACCATCTACCTCTCTCTTCCTTGCCGCTGCTCAACAGTTCGGGTACAATTCCTAATTACTAAAAAACTGTGATGGAGGGGAGAGGGACATTTGGATTTAAAAATTGGTCGGAAAATACTGTGTAGACATTTAATAGGCATTAAAGCAAAATATGGGGTTTTTCCCCTCCATCTGCATGATCTCTAGATGTCATTATGATGTAAACTTTTACTGTCTGTTCAGTTCCTATGAGCTCTCAAAGCTCAGGAAGAAATAGATCCATATATCTGAAATTCATCCCGTGCCATGAACTCTGCTAGAGTAAACTGTGCTCCCCTTGGTAAAGAGCTTTGTGTTTGGCCTTTTTTATCATCCATATTGTTGAATGAATAAAACTGACTGACTCACCCTAGGGAAATGTACACTTTTAATGTGTTTTTCCTCTAATGGGTCTGGGCATTATGAAGCCACCTCTTTCAGAATATAACTGTCAAGTGATCTATTAACTGCATCCAGACAAAACGGAAAAACAGTATGGGTCAAGACTTCTGTAAACACAGAAGTGTGGTATGTAGTTTGTTTTCTCTGTTTGTTCTAGAAAGATGAAAATGAGTCTTTATAAGAAATGCTGCAACCCTCAGCTGCCCCTTGCCTGAAGTTCAGAGAAAAGAATTATTCACATCAAAAAAAAAAAAGCAGAGTAGGTTTAGCTATAAAGAATATAATTTCTCAGTGCTGCTGAACACATTCTAATGAATGGAAAGGAACAGATTAAAAAAAGACTTCTTACCAAATCTTGCCTTTAATCAGAATGCTTTAAGTTCTCAAGGAGCCAGGCATGACAGAGGCTGCTTTCTTGTGGGACTTCACAAAACAGATTCTGACTATATCCAGGTTTGGGTTTTGTTGGTTTGTTTAGCCCTGATTCGTGTATGTGTATATAAATCCCACCATCTTCTACAGGGAGAAGTTTCAAAATACTGTTCAGATTTGCCAACCATTGCCTGACAAGGAAGACCTCCCCCTGACTGGTTGTTTTAATCAGAATGCTTTAAGTTCTCAAGGAGCCAGGCATGACAGAGGCTGCTCTCTTGTGGGACTTCACAAAACAGATTCTGACTATATCCAGGTTTGGGTTTTTTTGGTTTGTTTAGCCCTGATTCATGTATGTGTATATAAATCCCACCATCTTCTACAGGGAGAAGTTTCAAAATACTGTTCAGATTTGCCAACCATTGCCTGACAAGGAAGACCTCCCCCTGACTGGTTGTTTTCATCATTGGCTAAATCTTCCTTAGCTCCTGGAGCAAATCCCTAGAGGTTCAATCACGGGCAAGTAAGCTGCTTTCCACAGACTAGGGTGTTGTTACTGGTGCAAACTATGTTGCTCTTGATGCCACAGTTTTTAAATGTCGTTTGTATTTAAATCTTTTGCACAGGTGTTCAGGTAGTTCTGAAACAAACCAGCAATGCACTGAACGGTGACACGCTGCCTGACCGATGTAGGTGGGGTACCATCTTCACTGGGCTGCCACACCAGGTCTTTGCTTAAGTGTACATGTCCACTTAAGAGAATCTTTAAAGGAAAAAGATGCAATTTTCTACATTATTCTTATGAGACTTTAGTTGCCACTTGACTTCCAAGACTATATTTCCCAAAAACCAAATATAGAAGATCAAGATTAAAATTTTGGCTTATGCTCCAAT